ACTTGGATCTTGAAAAGTAGGGGTCTATGTAATTTCCACTTACAAGAAACTATTTGGAAAAATTAGACTGTGTACCCTACTAAAATAAGTATTTTGATTAATACTTTTTAATCTAATTAAACATTTTGATAAAGTAATATTTACGTCCTAATCTAAACTATTAACTAAGACTCCAACCCCTCTAAATGCTAAAGTATATGCTAGTCGAATTTCAAATTCCAAATGCTCTCCCTTTTCTCTAGAATCACCCAAAAATGAAACAAACTTCCGGCAACTCCCAGTCAGAAAAATCGCCGGAATTGGATACCGGTCGACAACCCCTAACATCCCCTTCAACTACCAACAAACACCATCCAATTCCATCAAGTATTTTAGCCAGAATTAATGCTTAAAGTTCACTGCCCAACAATCTGAAAATGGCCGGAAACCCTACCTCCGGCCACACCCATGGTCTCGGAACCCTACTGGCCTCTTCCCCACATCCAGACGAGATTATACATGGTGGCAATTCATCCATATCATCTCTCAAACATGCTGAATTTAATTCTGAAAACTGCCCAGTCGCGAAGCTTTCGATTCCGCCAGCGAAGAACTCGATTTTTGGAACCATCCGGTGCACCCATGGAGACGGACCACTTGGGATAGGTTCGCCTTCACCTTGCGCTCCTAGCCCATGTATGGGTCAACACCAATTTTACCCACAGCGGCACGAATTTGATCCAGAAATGTAGGCAGTCGCGAACTCGCTGGGTGTTTTGTTGGGGTGCTGGGTGTTTTGTTGTTTGGAGCTTTGGATACCTGGGTTTTTGCAGGTTTTCTGGGCTTTTGGTTGAAGGTGTTTGCTTCAACTTCATCGTTTGAAGGTGTATGTATTGTGTATCTATTGTTGAAGATAATAGTTCAAGGGAAGAGGTTGGATTTTCACAGTTGGTGAATTCACTGAATCTTGCATGCCAGATTTTCAGCATTATTTCCTGAGCATAACTTGCAACTTTTTGCATCTCTTAATTTGGGGACTGTCATGTCTTTTAACTTTTGTCATTTTTCTGTATTTATGTTTTAAATGTGTATGGATTATGAAAGTGAAATGCAATTTGTAGTTATCATC